ATCAATAATTGATTAATAGTTCCTCCTGTGTCAGCCTCCTTAGTAGCTGGGACTACAGGCTCATATCATACCACCTGGGTAATTTTTCTATTTTTCGTAGAGATGAGGTCTCACTCTTGCTCAGGTTGGTCTCCAACTCTTGAGCTCAAGGGGTCCTCCCACCTCAGTCTCCCAGAATGCTGGGATTACATGCACCATGCCTGACATGTCTTTTCTTTATATATTACTGGTCTCAGGTATTTTATTAGAACAGCACACAACTGCGGAAGGTAGTGAATGGTGAAACTAGTGAGAGTGATAGAGTTGGAACTAATTATCCTAGTCCAAAAGGTTTTGTGTTTGTCCTTCTAGACAAAATTAGGAAGACTGTTATTTAAAACAATCCTATAAAAACCCTCTGTTGTCCACATAATGATCTACTAAGTGTGAGGCCTGATATTTTGGATTCCTGCAGGCAGGCTTCTAGGAGTGGAACAGACTTAGTTTCAACTCAAGACTAAGTGAAATCCAGTACAGAGTGTAAAGCAGCTACCCAAGTGAACACTGCGATTCCCAAAGCCAGACTTAAGTCATAAGTGGGATAATCAATATAGAATCGAGCAGAGTGAGGAGTAGTAACGAAAGGTAGGGGTGACCTTAAAAGTAAGCTCTAAGTAACCTCAGGATAGTATGATTTAAGTGACTTACTTCACTTAAATGCTTCTTCCACCAATATGCTACGGCACCATTAGTTTTAAGACTGGATTTTACCTAAGAACGAGACTCCAAGAGTACCCTTAATAAAAACAAACATGCTTGGAGGATAATGCATTAAGGAGTTATTGCCTGTTAACACAGAAAATCAAATAGTCTGCCAGATCTTTGGCAACTGTATTACTGGAGAAAAGCAAGACACCTCAAAAAAGAGCCACAGATGAGTACATTTTGGTGGGAAGCAGGGAACTGCAAAGGGAAAACCAGGGTGATGGCACAGGGAGGGTGCCTGAAGAGCCAGGCTCTGCCACAGCACGCTTGCAAGGGAGAAGGGTACGTGGATATGAGGGGCTCTAAGTGAGCCCCCAAAAGACATTTAGCCCACTTTAGTTTCAACAAGTCTGCTCTTAAGTTTCAATCTTCCTAATGGGATACTCAGCTATGGTCTCCCTTCGAGTGCAAGCCAACATTCTATTTCCTCTCTAGAAATATCATTGTGCTTTCACCTTATCAAACTGTTCATATTACATGTTCTGTTTTTCTTCCCCCTAATCAAACCCAGGTAGAAATCCTAGGCCAGTGGTGTCCAACCTGGGGTGGACTCATGCTGAGGATTTTTTTTTTTTTTTTTTTGCTAATCAGCTTTCCTTAGTGTTTTCACATCTAATGTGTGGCCCAAGACAACTCTTATTCTCCCAGTGCACTGTAGAAAAGAAAAAAGGTTGGACACCCCTGTCCCTGGCTTTTGCTTTCCACATTTGCTTCCTCCTGAAGCCCTTATTCTAGATTATCTGCTGGCTTTACTACTCATCATTTGAGAAGACTCATAGCCTTTGTCCACATGTGCTTTAAATTTAATGCAATTTAAAGTGCCACGTCAAGGCGAGGCAGCTCACTATAGCATGAGTAGGGGCTGACACAGCTAGATAATGGATAAAAGACAAAGAGAAATACAAGGATTATGATTACTCTTCTGTTTAATACAGATATTTCAACATCACACCACCACCAACGGAATGGATACAAAGTAGATCAGACCTCAAGTCAATATGTACCCATGGATATTAAGCCCTAAAGGTAAAATACCATCCAAGTCTTTGTAAGAACTCAATTTAGAAAAAATTAAATTCGTCTCATTTATTTATGGGGCACTCATATGTGCAACTGATTAAACAAATATTTCACGAGCACCTATTACTTTAAGACACTTTGCCAGCAACTGCTGGGAACAGAGAAGACACAGAGTCCCTGTCCCCAACGATCTTTCAATTTAGTGGGGAGACAGATAAATGGCACATCTAGCAACACTGTGATAACCGCAGGCCAGGGAGCTGAGCACCAGGCCCACAGGGAACACGAACGGTCTCCTAACCCACTGGGGTCCAGTCAGGATCCAGTGTTCCCAGCACAAGGGCAGGGCACACACAAAGGGCCAGATGAGAATGGGAGGAGAGAAGACAAAGTCCCGGGCTGGGAGCTGTGGGGGCAACAGGCACTGACAACACACCTTGCAATCCTCTTGGGGGAATAACGCAAGTACAGAGATGGAGATGACTCGGGACACTCCAGACAAGGTAAGCTCTCCGGTCAGTGTCCTGAGGAGTGTGTACCCAGGTGGGAAAAGAGAAAGTTCTCCCACGAAGACATGGGGCTGGGGAGGTAAAAAAGAGTCTGCAGCCACAGAAGAATGGGTACATGGGGAAGAAGGGGTTCCTGCCATGTCAGTGGCCTGAACGGAATGATAAACAGGCAGAGAACAGCGTATGTTCTTGACAAGATCAGAGAGGAGAACTAGACAAGAACATCACCACGGGAAATGAGAGGGCTGCGGCCAAGGGACCAAGCAGCTTCGGAACCAGGTAAGTCCTGTTTAATATAACCAGACACACCATGGCACCTCTTGAGAAATCTGATAAAAATGGCTACATAGTGCAGTGGAAATAGTACTAAACTGTAGTAGTCACAAGACCAACTGCTGGTTGGCTGGGAGATTATCTGTGGGATGAGGTGGGTGAACAGGAGCAGCATCCACAAATAAATGGAAATGGAAATGTGGTGAGCCACCACAAGCCTTCTTTAAAAAAAAGTGAAATAAAACATACTCTGTGAAGTGCACTGCCCACAGAATACTGTTTTGTGAGACATTTGTTTTTGATACATATAGATGTGAATGCGTGTGCTTGATCAAGACGTAAACTGTGCTTCTTCCTGTGGGGTCACAGTTTAAATAGTTTGAAAAGCACAAGATAAGAGGTTCTGTGAGATTTCTTCGTATTTTAAGATTCTCATTCTGCTTTTAAATTCTAAACTTTTCTTTATTTTTATTTTTTTGAGATAAGGGTCTCATTATGTTGCCCTCGGTAGAGTGCCATGGCGTCACAGCTCACAGCAACCTCAAACTCTTGGGCTTAAGTGATTCTTTTGCCTCAGTCTCCCAAGTAGCTGAGCCTACCGGCGCCCGCCACAATGCCCAGCTATGGCATTGGTGTTTTGCAGGCCTGGGCCGGGTTAGAACCTGCCAGCCCCAGTGTAAGTTGGGCAGGGCCCTATCCATTGAGCTACAAGCGTGGAACCTACATTCTAAACTATTTTACAGGTGCATAAATCAATTCAGATATGAGTTCTGGCATAACATGAAGTAAATCATGGGCAATTTAGATATACGGTCAGGTAATACAAAATGTAATGTCATCCCAAACAATGCCCCTTAATTCAACTCAAAATGACAAGGAAAGTCCCCAGGAAACAACTACACCTTACCTATGTTGCAACGGGGACACACCTACATATTCAGGGCACAGGCATAGCCCTGGGAAAGGTTTTCATTTGAATGCAAATGGAGACAGGGGAGCAACATTCTATAGAACTTTCAAATAAAATCTACACAAGGTAGGATTTTCAGATTTCACTTTTAAAAGATCCAACACCAACCTTATTTTTACTTCCTTTACTAACAGCAAACTCTAGAATATATAAATAGAGAGAGAGACTGTGTGTGACACATACTTTTACCAGAAACCTTTTACTGGAACAGGTGGCTTTTAACTGCTTGTGAATTCTGACCCCAAAGAACTGCATGTGATATGCTCTCCTCTGCCTAAACCACTTTTGGAAGGCTGTAATTTAGAAGAGGGCATCCCCTTAGGACTTCAGGGGACACAACATCCCAAGTATAGTAAATAATTACTTCCCAGTTGGACAAGCTATTTTCCCAGACAGGCAAGGGGCAATTTATGAACACATGCACACACACATAAACATGAATGGGAAAATTAATTACTGCCAGCTATGTGCACGAACCGATAAGTAAGTTTTAGGTAAAAACCATACAAGGGTCCACAGCGACAACAATGCTCACTGTATTTAAGGGGTCTCCTTCATTGAAAGAAATCATATCTCATTACAGACACGACCTCAGGTATTTTCACCATCACTGCTTTGAAGTAGATGGGAAAGGTCACATATACCAAAACTGGAGCACAAACAGGTGACCTGACTTGCTCACTTAGCAGAGCCTTGTCTAATTGAGAATAAAACCCAAGTTTTTTTGTTTGCTTGTTTCACCAGGTCCAACGCTTAAACAATGCCTCCAGTTTGCGCCTAGCATGAATTAGTAAAAAGCCCTCAATACATACTTTCCAGTCCTTTGAATGCTAATTCAAGGTCAAAAGATTCCCCCAAACCCTTTAAGACTGAAACTTATCCAGGGCTGTTTTAGGCTCTGTTAAAGGCACCAGGCCACCAGTCACCAACTAACTTCCTGTCCACAGTGCCAGCTACTCTCCCCCACCGAGAGGCGAACTCCTGGACAATCCGTCCCCGGTCAGCCTCTAAGGTCGCCCAGACACTGCCTTGGGGGCTCTTTGCAAGCGGAAAGTCTTTCGGAGGTCATTCTGTCACACCCACTGACTTTACAGAGGAGGAATCTGAGGTCTAGAGACGCAGGTGCCTTGCTCAAGGTCACTACAGCCTGAGGACCTCAGTCTCTGGGTCAGTCACACAAACGAAAGACGAACCAAGTTGTTGCTTTCTGCCCTGTACTTAAGCACCCACACGCTGCTATTTGCAGTGAGTACAGCCACAAAGCCCCAGCCGGTGGACCGGCGACACCCAGGCGTGCCAAAGCAGGCAAAATCCTCCGAATCTGAGCTCTCCTGGAACCTGAGGTCTGGCGGGGTTTCCGGAGAGGGTGGACGCGGGGCCAGGGAGTCCCCGTTCGCCCACAGCCCCGGAGAAGGAGCTCCCTCTCCCCACAGGCCACCCACCCGCATCCGCAGGCCAGGCCTGGCAACCCCCGCCGGGCTCACCGGGTGCGCAGCGCCTGCCACGCGGCGTCGATGTCGGCGTAGAGGTTCTTCTCGGAGGGCTTGCCCGAGCTCACGCCGTAGCCTGAGTAGTCGTAGGAGAAGATGTTGCAGTTGATGCGCGAGCCGAGGCCGATGTAGAAGCTGCACATCTGGCCCAGGTCCACGGCGTTGCCGTGCGAGAAGAGCAGCGTGTACCGGCTGGAGGGCGCGCAGCGCACGAACATGCAGCCCAGCCGGTTGTCCCGGGCCGTGCGCGAGAAGAAGACCTCGACTGCGTCCAGCTCGCGCTGCGAGTACTGCCAGTCGGCGCGCTCGCTGAGGTGCAGGCTGCACGCGCCGGGCCCCGCGCCCGCGCCCTCCTCGGACTGCTGCGGCGCCGACTGGGCCGCGGAGGCGGAGGAGGAGGCGGCGGC